AGTTGAATCTCCATCAGCTAATCCTATAAAAGAAGAAGAGGAAGCAACAATGACTATTAAAGAAGAAGACGAAGATGTCGCTATGGACGAAGAAGAAGATGATGATGAAGATGAGATTGAGGCCGAAGCGGAAGATGATGAAGAAGAGGAAGAAGAAGTAGAAGATGAGGATGAGGATGATGGTGATGATGAGAAATCATTACAAATGATTAATCAGCGAATTGATGAAGCGACAACGTCTGTCGTTAAAGATCAGGCAGAAATTGATACCAGAAAGGAATGGCCGGTGTTGCCATCTCCACCATTAAAAGGCATTTTAGTTGTACCAGGATTTAGGTTTGTCTATATTGTTTTAAATTTCTTTTAAAAATAAAGTTAAGTTTCCCCTGAGTAATCGCAATGATCATATTGGACGTAACGTTACAAACGAGAAATAAAGAGAATTTGGATAAAACAAAATCATGAGATCGATTTAAAACACTTGTAAAAATGTCGAAGCCATTCTCTTATCACCTTTGCTCACAGTAAACAATCATAAAAAGCACGTGAAATGAAAATTGGTTCAAAAGCTTTATTATGTATTTTCACTTTACATGCCTTTCACGATTATTTACTAATTATCGATGAGGAAGGAGATATAGATAGGACAACCCGTTTTTACAAGTATTTTATAGTAATATTATTATTTTGATCTATTCAGAATGTTCTTATTTATAAATGGCATGCAAGACTCTTAAAGGTGTCATTTCTCGCTCATGACGATCCAATATGACCGCGATGAATGGACAAAAATTTTAATATTAAAAATTGAACAAATTATATTTTATGCAATTTTGGTAAAAAAAATTTTTTGTAAGTCATCTCTTAAGGCTGCGTTTGATTTGGACGTTTTAGGACTTCCAATGCTTCTTTTACATCTAATAAATAGTAGATAAAGACAGCATATTGATTATAAGCGCTTATAGAGCGTTCAAAGTGAATGCAAAATGTTCTTATTATAATTCATAAGTGTTTTTACAAGTTTTACAAGAATAAGTTACAAGCTGTATTGATTTTGCTTGAAATTGAGCCATTAAATTTGATATATTCAATTTGTATGTACTGCATGGAATATATAAGTGGATTTTTTTCAGTCCCAATGGCAACTTGGATGATTTATCAGACGCGGACAACAATATCAAAGACAGTAGCGACAAAGATGGAGAGATAGATAAAAATAATGAATATGATAAAGATGCAGGATCTGATGTCAAACCTGGTAAATCAAATCTAGCAAAATTAAAAAAAACAAAGAAAAACAAAAAGTCAGTTCAGTTTGCTGATGGTGTGAAACCTGGGGAGGGAACTAGTCCCAGCGGTGGCGAAGGCGACATGCCTTCACCGCCTCCTCCTAAGGGAATAGATTTCCGCGAAGGACTCGGAGATTTGAAAAGAGATAAAATTTATAACTCTCGAAAGAGCAGGAAGCAGGAAAAAAGGACGAGACCACCAAAGGCAAAGAAAAAAGTCAAGGTATGCAATAGTTATTCCTCTTTCTCTCTTGTTTAGAAAAAGAGACTTGGATTCAAAAAATGTTTTTTAATTGTATTATGTAAAATATGTTTTGTTTCTCTCCTTGTATTTTATAGGTAAAGATAATCAAATTGAAAAAGCCACGCATTACGCCATTGACAGCCATGATGATGGATGATTCTGACGAAATCGACGATCGTTCACCACCCCCGCCGCCCCCTGGTTCTCCTCCACCACCTCATCTCTGGCCCAGTTATCTTTCAATCTACAATACAACGGTTCGAGCAATTGAACAACCACAGACTACGACTGCGACTTTGACGTCTGTTCAAGCTCCACCACCACCACCAACTCCATTGCCTCTTTTGATCCCGCCACCTCCGCTTAATTATACCATCCAACCTTGCAGTAAATCTTAAGCTAATTCACGGCGTCGATTTTGTAATCTTTTCTGATCTTTTTCTTTTTATGAAATAGTAAATTTCTCTTTCTCTGTCTCTCCCTCCCTCCCTCCCCCCTTCCTTTATTGGAAATTCTGTGCGCGGGAAATCATATTAGATTGTAAAAGTGAGAATTGTACATTAGTAGTCTCTTTGAGACTTCAGTGAACAAAGTTAAAATGATGTTGAAGAATATGTACCAATAGTTGATGTTGTAAATATCCTTGCAATATAATCATTTTCTGATCAAGAGATCGTAATCTTTATCTGATCCATTGCGTCCGGAACTTTTAATAACTTCATATTAATAATCTACTTCATATATTTTCGATACCGAGAATCGAATACATAGAATGTCTCCGAACTAATGATACAATAAAAAAAGATAATTTTTAATGGAAAGAAAATTTTAAAATTAAATTTTTGCACCTTTTTAAATTTATTTTCAATGCCAGTGTGTGCATCATATGTCGTCAAATTTCTTTCGTGAATGTTTATTAAAATACACAAATATGTTTTACGTACAAAATGTATTTCAACTAATAATATTTTATTTATTAATATAGTATATTATTAATATCGTATTATATTTAAAAAAATGGAAATGATTTTACTGTATATATTTATTAGGATAGCTCTTATTTTATACTGGTGAAACGTTTTTTCATGTATTTATTTGCAATCCCTTCAGAGCAATTCCAGATATTAAAAAAATAATATCCGCCAAATTTTATGTTACAAGGTGCCTGTAGTATGTGTTCTTTTTAATCGATTGTAATAATAAATTTTATAGAGATTATTTTTGTAATATCTTGAACTGTTTTGGAGGAATCGGCAAACAAATATATGAAATTTTTCATCCTAATATTTATAAATAATTTTTCAATAACTTATATAATTTTAAATTGCTTTATTGTACATAAATAGAATATTACTTTTTTTTTTTATTATAAAAATGCCCTCGAAACGAATTGGATGACGTATGATGTATATATATTAAAGAAGGATTGATAAAAAACATGTTTTAAACAGTTTAAAAGGTGCTTAACTGATGTTTTTAAAGTGATGTTTTTTTTTTATAATACTGTTTAAAGCAAATATTTAAAGCATTAAAAACATATTTAAGAAAAACATAATATTTTATTCTTAAAAAAAATATTAGTTTTTGTCAATCCTGATTAAAAATCATTAAGCACTTAAGAAAATACAACATACATATTAAAATTTTCCAATTTTCAAAGACTTTTCTCGAAAATTTAGATAAATTACTTACTTACATAAACGAAAACACTTAATTTTATAATTTTCTTATTTCTATAAAAGGAACTTTTCAATTGTATTATTAGTTCTAAAACACTGCATTAAAATGGCAATGGCAATGGATATAATGTAATTATTGTCGATGATGTATTGTTAATACAATTTGTTATTACAAGTAAGAACATATTCGAAAAAAATGCAATGTATATACATTGTATTATATATTAACTTGTCACAAATATATGTGATTTAAATGCAGGCAATATTTAAAATTAGATCCCGTTCTTTTCTTAGATTAAAAACATTTAGTACTTTAGTGATAAAGTACTTTATATTTAATGATAACTACATTATTTAATATCACATGATGATAAGGTATCTGTAAAACAAAAATCTGTAAAACAGTTTTTAAAAACAGTTTTTTGAAAACAGTAATCTATATATATATATAGATTACTATATATATAATCTATAAATTTTTTAATCTTAGGATGGGTAAAAATAGAACGTATGAGATATATGAGATATAAGTATTAAAAAATGAACGATTTAAAGGATCTCGCATGATTTATCTGAAAAAATTGTTTTCAGTCAATTTGAATTTGTAACATATTCTTGTAATTCTTACATCTCTGATAAAAAAATCTCAATGAGCAAAACAATTTTATGACTAGTTTCTATGTTAAGCCTTCGCATACAGAATTTACTTTTAGACGAAAGTTCTTACAAGAAACACGAAACAAATTTTTATCGTTTTTCAAAAGAGAAAAAATTAATATTAGGTTATTTGTATCACATGCTCCAACATGTTGTAATATGCTCGTACTTATTCCAACGCGTTTGATAGAATGAGTAGGAGCTATGATAGGAGCATGTTGGAGCATGTTGGAGTATACAACGCGAACAAGCCTACTAAAGAGGAAAGAAACTTGCGAAAAATCAATTTTTATTATGATAAAAGATAAATATTATTATCAGGATTTATTTTCAGAAATATAAAATTATTTTTGTACATTGTTAGAATAAGAATAATTTTGTTTTAATCTTAGGTCATCGAATTAAGAGAATTTTAAGAAATTTTTTTTTATTGAATAGAATAAGACTCACTTTCTTTTAATTTCGTATTATGGACAAAAATGGATTCGAAGTTCTCGAATCTGTTTTGATTAAAAGAATAACAATTACGTCATTTCAATTCTATTATTAAAATGGATTAAAATGGATTGCATACAGCTTATATTTTCCATCATTTTTTTTCGATAGAAAGAAATAGAAAGGAATCCCATTGTTTCAATTCCAATGTCAAAGATTAAAATGGATTCAAAAAATTATTAAACTTTAATCGGATTGAAATGGATCGGATTAAAAAATCAATTTAAATTCGGCAATGACCAAACGAATCTATTTCTATCTATTTCAATCTCTCCGGATATTGGGATGTTCAGATTTTATAATTTTATTCATATATTTTTTTCTAAATTTTATGATTTTATAATTGGATATTTAAAATAAAATTTCTATACCTTCTTTGAAGGAACAGAATTAAACGTTTAGTATATCTGCGTATTGCATATAGCTATGCTTTATCAAAATGCATATACTTTATCACATATACACATGCGTGGCAAAAGTGCGTTCAATAATGATAATAATACACATTTGATTTTTCTATCAAAACGCGTTACGTATATAAGTATTACGTAAATAGTGATAACTAGTGATAAATAGTGATAATTTTATTGCTCTCCAACATCACTGTGTAACTGCATCATATACAAGACTAGCTCGTAATTCTCAAACCTTTTAATATTGTTAAGCGATGTTACAATTCTTTCAATATTTACGTTTTACTTATAATTGTATTATACTACAGTTAAAAACGAAATGAGAGTAGCTATTATTGGTGGTGGAATTGTCGGATTAACGACAGCTGGATTTGTACAAGCAGGGTATTTTCGTAATGCTGACATAACAGTTTTGGCTTCGGATTTTGATAATACTGTCAGTCATGTAGCTGCGGGAATCTTTAGAGTCGGTGCTTCATTCTGCGGCCCTAATGAGACAATAACAAGGTATAAAACAAGAAATTTTTATTAATTTTTTTTTTTTAAGAGTATGTCTCTGAATACGCCATTTCAAACAGCTTTCCGCAAAAAAAAATCTGGCATTTTTATCGCTGAGAACTTTATTTTTTCTAAACTACTAAAAGAGTCCACAATTTAAAATGAAAAATAAACTTTACCATAATCCATTTTCTTTAAATTAAACACTGCTATGTTAATTACAACTAAATATATATGCTTATTTATTTTCAAATTAAGAAAAAAATATTGAGATAGACATGGATCGTATTTTTTATTTTTACTGAAATTCTTTTTAATTTTATGTGGCCTCAAGCTTTAGCAGTATGTATTCATTTAAATTATAATCAATTTACTTTTTTAAGACAATGGATAAAAGATTCTTACGAATTTTACGATGCTGTTCGAAAAATGGATGATGCTTCTCATGCTGGAGTGACTGATATTTCTGGATATATATTCGCGAATTCATCTCAAGACATCGTTAGAGTAAGATTGAGAATAAAAAAATAATTTTTATCTAAAATGAGATAATTATATAAATGATGAGAATACATTTAAATTTAATGCACACACACACACACACACACACACACACACACACACACACACACACACACACACACACACACGTATGTCAGAGTTTACACGTTAATTAATTAACGTGTAAATTATTTAATTAGAATCATTGGCTTGAAGGCGTGGTGCCAGTATATAGAAAGGTGAACGAGGAAGAATTTGAACTAGTAAATGGTAGTTGGAAGTACGGATCATACTTCTCGACACTCCTTACACAAAGTAATTTGTATCTTCCATGGGTTAAACGTCGGTAAGTAATGTATGATTCAACGAAAGACAGAAAAACTGTAATTTGAACTATTCGCATTGCTAGATTGCAATTAAATGGAATTACATTTAAGCAAAGAGAATTAAATTCTCTTAAAGAATTGACTAACGATTACGATATCGTAATAAATTGCACTGGACTTGGAGCGCGCAAATTATGCTATGACAGACATCTTGTTTCTCTTCGTGGCCAAGTACTCAAAGTATGACATTATCTTGCACTCAGATATTCATCTTTTTTTATTCATACAATCTTTCTCTTGACGCTTTAATAAATGATAATATCAGGATTGAAAAAGTTATTAAAAAAATAATTAGTTACCATTATGCGTTACTTATTAAAAAAAAACTCATTCGTTATGTAACGAATAAAAAAATGAGTTACTTTTTATAGATAACGTATAATGATAATAAGTTATTTTTCAAGATTTTTTTCAATCTTGACATTATTGATGACAGTCATGAAAAATTATAAAAAATAAAAAAAAATTATAAAATTGTTATCAAAAATTGTTATTATAAAAAGTAACGGTAATAGCATTATAAATACACATTATTTCCTTGCTGATCGTTTATATGCATAACAAAATAGTATATCTGTGTAGGTAAAAGCGCCATGGATGAAAATGTTCTTTTACGGCGAGCTTGATACTTATATCATACCAGGCTTTAATGGTATAGTTACTTTAGGTGGATCGAGAAACTTTGACTCTGAAAATATAAAATTGTGTCCATACGAATCTGCAGCAATTCGTGAAAGATGCGAGACGCTAATCCCATCCTTGAAAAATGCGGAAATTCTGCGACAGGAAGTCGGTCTGCGACCGCATCGGGATGGTGGTGTTAGAGTTGGAGACGGGAGTCGTATTAGTAATCATTCTAAAGCTATAGTTAGTATAGTAAAAATTTAGACAGTAAAAACAATTTATATTAATTTATACATTGTACTTTATATTAATTTATAGATTGTATAGATGAAAGAGATCCCTTTTATAGATTATACATAATTATGGACATGGTGGTTACGGAGTTTGCATGGCACCTGGAACTTCTATAATGGCCGTGAACGCAGCCGTCGAACTTCATAAATCTACCAATTCTAAAATATAATATCATTTACATAACATTTTTTTCCATTACATACACGCAAAACAATTAGGGAATCATTTTAAAACCTGCAAATTTTACTGATCTTAAGACGCTGTATCTCATATGTAGTTATCCAAAATTTTGCAAAATATAAGGTTCATTTTAAAACCTGATAACTCAGCTTTTACGAATGCTATAGTAATATTCGTAGTGTCATTCACTGGAAGCTAAAATATATCTTTTATGGATCGGCAAAATGTTTTAAAGTGATTCTCTAATTGTTGTGCGTAATGTATTATGTATTACAAAAAAAATATTGCTGAAAAAACCTTTTTCTATCTGAGCATCCTTTATTAATAAGCTTACATAAATTCTAATAGTACATAGTATCATTTGCTGATCAATGAATCAATTTATAAATAAAACTTGTAAAAGCCTGTTTAGGGCTTTATCAAGTATGAAGGTACACATTTATATTTTCTAAAATATATTAGCAGAAAAATGTATTTCATAGATCGCAAGTTTAATATCTTTTTGAAAAATAAACAATAAATCGTATTCGTCAAAATTTAAGAGTGATGCATCTATCTAGTAACAAATATTGTATTATATTTTTAATGACAAATATCGTATCAAAAATAATATTGTTTATCGATTAATTATAAACGTATTTGAAACTATTATGAAATAACCAACAAATTTATGCATGCCACGCGTAAATTAATATCGGACACATCAAGTTTTTGAATTGTGTGTGTGTGTGTGCGTGTGTGTGTGCGTGTGTGTGTGCGTGTGTGTATAATTATATTAAATGATCATTATTTAGAAAAATATTACACCAACCCATTTAAATGTTATTTCTTGCTGAGTTTTACATTCTTCCGAGGTGGTGCTCCCCATCTCAATGCGCTATTATCGACTGTAAGACGCGGTCTTTTATATTGACTGCTCTTTATGTGTTCTTCTACTAATTTGGGTGTGACACAAATAACGTGTTGCCCTTTCCAATATTTAACCATATTCATACTTTGTAATGTCGAGATAATATCAGTTTGTGAGATGCTGGTCATTTGACTGTAAATAAATTTATATTATTTTTTATTTATTGCTCTCGAAACATTCTCTAGTATAGTATGTATGATATGTATGATCGATATTTGTATATCTCACCTAAGATCTTTAATACCAAGAGTAGTCCCCCCTCTAAAATCTCGAAGGATTTCCAATAGAATCCAACTCCAATAACTGCGATAAGATAATTTTCCTAAATCACTTAAAGGTTTCTCTGGACTTCCAACCGTTTGTTCAATTCTACTTAATTCATAGCTAAAAGCTATCAATAGTTTGCCATAACCTTGTCTTTGAAAAGGTGGTAGAGTTAAGATACATGCTACATTATTACCGTCTTGTGAATCTTTCTCCTGAAAATAGAATAAAATTTGCAGAGAGAGTGTGAGTGAGAGAGAGAGAGAGAGAATGTTTAAAAGAAAGCTTCAAAAAAATCCAA